AGATTAACCGTATTTACATTGAACCTTATGGGGAAATTTGATTCGGGTCGCGACCAATTCGTGAACCGAGGTACCACTATAACCGAGGCTATATTTTATGGATTGTTGCTGAGTAACTTTCTTGTGAGGATCATCTAGGTGAACAAACCCAAGTAGGAATGAACCAAACACAGCCCAGTCATTTTATCCCCGGAATGTCCATAAAAGCTAGGACAGGCAATCTGATACACCTCAGCATAGTTAGTTGTTATGAAGTTATAATTAAAAATATCTGGCAAAAACTACCACCTACTCTTTAAATAGGCTCACAGTTAAAGATAAGGCCACGGAAAGGTCAGCTAGAATTTGTCAAGTGAGCTTCAAAATGAAACAACTCAATTCTTTGTTTAAAATAAATATTAATAAGAGATCTGAGGAACATCACCATTTTATAAATCGTTTGCCTAAGTAAGAATGATACAAGTGAGAAATGAGACACTCCCTAGAAGGTATCGCCAAAGTAAGCCACCAACCTGTACAGCAGAGGGTCAAACACTTACGTAGTTTGCATGCAGCACTGTGAAGAATTCAGGATTGGTAATGAATTTTACAGCTGGTGACTGCAGCAACAAAGTGATTTTTTGAGAGTTCACAGGTGAAACAGGTATTTCTCTCCTAATTTCTGAAATCCAAATGATAAGCATATAAGTGAAAACAAAAGAATATTTGTATTATTCCAGTCGTTTTATCTTCGGCTCTCTTATTCTGCTGAATACCTTCATGCGCAATCCTCCCCCCGCCCCCAAAATGTACTCTGTAAAATATTAATTATCACCACTCTTTTCCAATAGTTAGAGGTTGTCTTTTTACTTACCGTTGCTAACTTTAGCTTTATAAAATTAATTTCCAATATAATAACAGATTGATTAAAAACATCTTTAACAACCACTGTTAAAGATGATCAGTATTTAATTAATTGTTAGAAGATTAACAGGACAAAATTTATACAAATATCCGGAGGGCACCATGACTTTAGTCTCTAATGTATATTTCCAGCAAGTTGTGTTTTTTTTTAAACTCTAAGGAATAGTTAGTATATCAATATGTGCAAAATAAAAAGGTGGCTGATCTTTTTGGATACAGTAATATTACCCACAATCTTAACCCCGCACCAATACTATAGTTCCAGTCAATAACAATAAAATATATATTTTATATGTAAAAGTTCACTGAAAGACATCCCAAGGATTTGTTGACATCATTTAGAAACTGTATCTTTAAAAAGACAGTTTTAAAATAAGATTAGCAGGTACTGATTATGTGCCATCAAATCAGTGTCAATTCTTAGTAACCACCTATAGCAGTGTTGTCCAAACTTGGCCACTTTAAGATGAGTGGACTTCAACTCCCAGAATTCCCCAGCC